ACAATCTACCACTGTTAAGAACTTCCACAACTTTTAACGTTATAGGGAAATGCTTCTTAAGATGGTAATTATGGTAACTCATGATCACAGTTGTCAAGTGGGTAGAGTGCTCGCCTTGCATTCGGTAGGTCGTGAGTTTGATCCCCGGCCAAATCATACCAAAGGCTTAAAAAAATGCATATGGTACATACTGCTTTCTCTGCTTAGCACTCAGCATTTGGGGAGTTAAACACACACCACTACCAGCGGACTATCCCCCTGCTGTAGTGATTGCACTGTGTGGCCCAGGGCTACTGAAAACGGAGATAGGCGCCGCCCTATGCGTCACTTGACGCCGGAAGGCTCTTTTACTTAACTCTCGAAGTTGAAGTGATTGGTATGAACAGAAAAATGTGTAAAGAGTGTTCGCTTCAGTGCGAAGTAGGTATCAGACAACAGTGGGAACATTCAGTAGCAGCGGAGACAAAAAATGTCAAGGGCTTTACACATCGCTGAAGGTGCATGTATTGGCACATCTCGAAAAGGTGAAACGTTTGAAAAATGTCAAGAAGGTAATTATGAAGACTTAATCTGTCAACGTGTGATGTTACCAGGTGTGCAATAAGTTCAAACGGAAGCAACATCAAGCCGCAGTCTCACATGGAAGACTTTCTCCCACCTTATCCTTGGCAGTCTGACAAGAATAAGGCCATGCGAATCTTATCGAACTTAAGTTAAATTTGAGTCAAATTTGACCTCCCAAACACTGCTGACCTACTCCCGACCACCAGCGAACCACTTGCCAACCTTGGCCGAACCTCCCGACCATAATCTTTTAAACATTTTAAAAATTAACATTCAGCTGGCGTTCTCCCAACCTACAACTAATCATGATCGGCGAAAGTTCGGCAGTGTTTGGGAGGCCATGTGTGACAATGGGCTTCAGTGGAAATGACTTCAACAGACAACAATGGCCGTGTCTAAACGGAATCACCCAAGGCGGTTTACATGTGGTTTACCCCGAAGCCGGTTTCAAGTCGCTCCATGTGAACGCTCCGAAATCACATTGAAAGCGCCTCGATCCCAAGCCACTTCTAGAGGTGGTTTCGAATCGGTTTCCCCGCATCGCGACTTGCGTCTGAACGCAATGTGATTTCAATGTGACTTCGCCTGGTCATGGATTACGGGGTGATATTTCTTTTTTTTATATGCAATACCAACTTTTACGTGGCAGCAACTTAAAGAGCAGTAATGGTCAAATAATGTGTCCGTTCTAGGGCGAGCTTCCCGAATCGAGGTTTGGGTGATTCCGTATAGACACGGCCTATGTGAACATGATTCATGAATAGCGGTGGCCACAAAAATGTAGGGCTGATTTCCAAGTGGCCCCACCTGCACGGTGCCATCTGAGCGTTACACATAGCTGACGATAGGCCACACCGACTTAATTGCATGGATGACATCCACGCGCGCGTTAATTTTCGCCTTTTCTCTAAAAAAAAGATCACGCCCACCGAGGCTCTGGCCTGGCGACAATACGGCACCCAGGCTGCCAAAGCTCAACGACTCAGGAACTTATAGCAATGGCACGAAAATAAACAGTCATTCATTCATTCATATAGTACATGCGTACAGTGCCGATTCATAGCTGCTTTGTATTCCTGTGGTTTAGCTGCATTTTTTCTTTGGCCGGACTTTTTTTTATTCGCCCGCCTGCACTAGTTTGGGTGTCTTCAGAGGATGTCATCCATAAAATTAAGTCGGTGTGGCCTTATTGGGCATTGTTAAGGTTGCCAGGCTGAGGTCATAGCTGACATCGTAGACTAGTACCTGCAGAGATTGGAGCAGCGAACCCTGTGCAACTCAGCTTATGCCTGCACCGCACCAATCGTGACACTTAAACCCGAGTTCCTATTAGACACTACCGTTTCACCAAGACTGTTACAGATACTCAGGCTACTTCCCTCGGACTGTCAGGGATTGGAATACGCCTCCTCAGATGCAGACCATATCGGAAATCCCGGAGGCTGACAAGTTCAAGAAAGCCGTACTACTGCACCTAAGGAGTTATTAAGAGCGCAACGCACTCGCCCCTGCGTGTCTTAACACAACTGAGGGGTGTTACGCAGTACCCTTTCAAGATCAAGATCAAGACAGGTCTTTCGTCACGAGTATGGAGGCCGTCACCACCCGCGGCGTTCTCAAAATCACGATACTTGCGGCTGTAATACATCTATTACAAAAAGAATATCGCCGCCAACGGCAAGACGGGATCGCGGCCGTGAGACCACCGTGCCTACGTCCCCAGCCGGCCGGGCTGGACCTCACGGGTGGCCCGTACGCACACGGGGCGGTCGCCGCTGACGCCCTGGAGTGCTCTGCCATAGGCAGGTATGGGACTGAACCTTTACACTAGATGTTAATTGATATTTTCAAAACTAATTGGCCAGATAGCATCACAGATAGCACCACCTTTATGTGTTCAGTTTATGTCTATCTTGTTTCAGTTTTAGTTCTTGTATCTTGTTTAAAAAACTAAATAAGAGGCATTTTGCATCGATAGATCCTGGTATGCCATGGTTACAATGTTTTCGTACGCAGTGACACAGTTTGGGTCTACACAAGACTGCGTGCCATTATATAATAAACAACAATCATTGATTAAATAGATGATAGATAATGCATTTGGGTCATTCTGTGTGTTTGCATATAACCATTTTAAGAAGTCGGTGTGTAGTGTTTTTGTTCGTCGTGTGTTGTGGTTGAACGTTCGGATAATCTATTTGGACATTTTGTGCCACCTCGATGTTCAAGGTATGTCCAAGGTATGTCGAACAGTTTAACTTGTGTATGTATGAATTGTTTACGTCTAATATATAGCAGATAGATGAATGGCCCCTAGAAGGGAACCCTGCCACTCTGTACCGTATGAATGTGACGAATATGACCATAGCTTACAAATGTTTGGATAATTGTTTTTATCTTATTAAAGCTTATGATATCAAATAAATCAGCAGCCACGAGCACACAAATGGGACACTCTACCACTGTTAAGAACTTCCATGGCTTTTAACGTTGTAGGGAAATGCTTCTTAAGATGGTAATTATGGTAACTCATGATCACAGTTGTCAAGTAGGTAGAGTGCTCGCCTTGCATTCGGTAGGTCGTGAGTTCGATCCCCGGCCGAGTCATACGAAAGACTTTAAACATTATACATACTGCTTTCTCTGCTTAGCAGCATTTGGGAAAGAGTATGGGAGTTAAACACACACCACTACCAGCGGACTAGCCCCCTGCTGTAGTGATTGCAGTGTGTAGCCCAGGGCTACTGAAAACGGAGATAGGCGCCGCCCTATGCGTCACTTGACGCGGGAAGGCTCTTTCACTTAACTCTCGAAGTTGAAGTGATTGGTATGAACAGAAAAATGTGTAAAGAGTGTTCGCTTCAGTGCGAAGTAGGTATCAGACAACAGTGGGAACATTCAGTAGCAGCGGAGACAAAAAATGTCAAGGGCTTTACACATCGCTGAAGGTGCATGTATTGGCACATCTCGAAAAGGTGAAACGTTTGAAAAATGTCAAGAAGGTAATTATAAAGACTTAATCTGTTAACGTGTGATGTTACCAGGTGTGCAAAAAGGTCAAACGGAAGCAAGCCTCAAGCCCCAGTCACACATGGAAGACTTTCTCCCACCTTATCCTCGAACACGGTCGGCTGCCTTTCGGGATCAGTCTGACAAGAATAAGGCCATGCGAATCTTATCGAACTTAAGCTTAATTTGAGTCAAATTTGACACCCAACCACTGCTGACCTACTCCCGACCACCAGCGAACCACTTGCCAACCTTGGCCGAACCTCCCTTCCACAATGCTTTAAACATTTTAAAAAACGTAAACATTTTGAAAATTAACATTCAGCTGGCGTTCTCCCGACCTCCTACTAACCATGATCGGGGAAAGTTCGGCAGTGTTCGTGGGTTGAGTGGAAATGACTTCAACAGACAGCAATGGGGACATGATCCAGTGAGGAGCGGTGGCCACAAAAATGTAGGGCTGACTTCTAAGTGGCCCCACCTGCACGGTGCCACCTGGGCGTTACACATCGTTGACACTAGGCCACGCCGACTTAATTTCATGGATGATATCCACGCGCGCGTTGATTTTCGCCTGGCGACAATACGGCACCCAGGCTGCCAGAGCTCAACGACTCAGGAGCTTATAGCAATGGCACGAAAATAAACAGTCATTCATTCATTCATTCATTCATTCATATAGTACATGCATACAGTGCCGATTCATAGCTGCTTTGTATTCCTGTGGTTTAGCTGCATTTTTCTTTGGCCGGACTTTTTTTATTCGCCCGCCTGCACTCGTTTGGGTGTATTCAGAGGATGTCATCCATAAAATTAAGTCGGTGTGGCCTTATTGGGCATTGTTAAGGTTGCCCGGCTGAGGTCATAGCTGACATCACTAGTACCTGCAGAGATCGGAGTAGCGAACCCTGTGCAACTCAGCTTATACCTGCACCGAGCCAATCGTGACACTTAAACCCGAGTTCCTATTAGACACTACCGTTTCACCAAGACTGTTACAGATACTCAGGCTACTTCCCTCGGACTGTCAGGGATTGGAATACGCTTCCTCAGGCCACATCCGAAATCCCGGAGGCCGACAAGTTCAAGAAATCCGTACTACTACACTTAAGGAGTCATTAAGGGCGCAGCGCACTCCCCCCCGCTCCCTGCGTGTATTACCACAACTGAGGGGTGTTACGCAGTACCCTTTCAAGATCAGATCAAGATCAAGACAGGTCTTTTGTCACGAGTATGGAGGCCGTCACCACCCGAGGCGTTCTCAAAATCACGATACTTGCGGCTGTAATACATCTATTACAAAAAGAATATCGCCGCCAACGGAAAGACGGGATCGCGGCCGTGAGACCGCCGTGCCTGCGTCCGCAGCCGGCCGGGCTAGACCTCACGGGAGGCCCGTACACACACGGGGCGGTCGCCGCTGACGCCCTGGAGTGTTCTGCCATAGGCAGGTACGGGACTGAACCTTTACACTAGAGGTTAATTGATATTTTCAAATCTTATTGATAGCATCACAGATAGCACCACCTTTGTGTGTTTAGTTTATGTCTATCTTGTTTCAGTTTCAGTTCTTGTATCTTGTTTAAAAAACTAAATAAGAGGCATTTTGCATCGATAGATTCTGGTATGCCATGGTTACAATGTTTTCGTACGCAGTGACACAGTTTGGGTCTACACAAGACTGCGTGCCATATGTATATAATAAACAACAATCATTGATTAAATAGATGATAGATAATGCATTTGGGTCATTCTGTGTGTTTGCATACTAGTAAAACCATTTTAAGAAGTCGGTGTCTAGTGTTTTTGTTCGTCGTGTGTTGTGGTTGAACGTTCGGATAATCTATTTGGACATTTTGTGCCACCTCGATGTCCAAGGTATGTCCAAGGTATGTCGAACAGTTTAACTTGTGTATGTATGAATTGTTTACGTCGAATATATAGCAGATAGATGAATGGCCCCTAGAAGGGAACCCTGCCACTCTGTACCGTATGAATGTGACGAATATGACCATAGCTTACAAATGTTTGGATAATTGTTTTTATCTTATTAAAGCTTATGATATCAAATAAATCAGCAGCCACGAGCACACAAATGGGACAATCTACCACTGTTAAAAACTTCCACAACTTTTAACGTTATAGGGAAATGCTTCTTAAGATGGTAATTATGGTAACTCATGAACACAGTTGTCAAGTAGGTAGAGTGCTCGCCTTGCATTCGTTAGGTCGTGATTTTGATCCCCGACCGAGTCATACGAAAGACTTTAAAATGCATACTGCTTTTTCTGCTCAGCACTCAGCATTTGAGAAAGAGCATGGTTAAGAGCAAGTTAAACACAAACCACTACCAGCAGACTAGCCCCTGCTGTAGTGATTGCAGTGTGTAGCCCAGGGCTACTGAAAACGGAGAAGGGCGCCCCCTATGCGTCACTTGACGCGGGAAGGCTCTTTATTAACTTAACTCAAATCTTGAAGTTGAAGTGACTGGTATGAACAGAAAAATGTGTAAACAGTGTTCGCTTCAGTGCGAAGGAGGTATCAGACAACAATGGGAACATTCAGTAGCGGCGGAGACAAAAATGTCAAGAACTTTTACACATCACTGATGGCGCATGTATTGTCCGCTCCCACAGTCGTTGGGACTAACGTAAACTAACCAGGATGGGACCCAGGCTAATAGGAAATCTTAAGTACCTCTATAATTTTAAAGCATTACAGTTTTGTATGTACTAATTCCTGTAACGCGGTTTCAGTATGTCAATGGTGATAGTATTATCAAGTATCATTTATTTTATTTTATGTAACCAGAGTAATATACTCAGGTCTAACTGACCTGTTTTTCAGGTATCCCTGGGGTTACATAGTATTACATAGAATACACAGTATACATGGGAAAATAAGAATACACAATAAGAATATACATCACAATTTCAATTCAACATGCATACCAAACATAAAAACATATGCCACTCAAGTCCCACTCAGGGAGTCTTTGAAAGATGTTAAAGATGATAGTTGTCTTTGCTCTCTGGAAAGTTGGTTCCACAGAACCTGGCCCTGGTACTGCAGAGACCCTTTGAACGATGTGATGTTTGCCTGTGGCACTTTCAGCATGCACATGCAAGTAATGCACAACATTAATACAATCCGTGAGCACTCGGCTGAGTCGGAGGCTACCGCGCCGTGGCTGTATGGTCCCCCCCGCGGCGTCCCTGTCAGAAGGCCGGGCTACATGGCACAGTCTGCCCGCTAGATTCTCGCTGGGACTTCGTCTTTCGTAGACTTGGACAAGAATAGCCTGGGTGCCAGACGCTGGCGTTCATAACCGATACATTTTTTTTTGTGGGGAGAATCTCTAATATCCGCTACAAGAGAATCCACTGCCCAAACCCTTTATATCTTTCACGCCAGGGTGCGTGCCAAATCTGGGTTCGCGGGGCGTATGGCTTCCCTGACCGAAGGGATTGGGGCTGGCACCCAGGCTAGGACAAGAAAGGCTATAACTTCAGCAGCGACAGACAGATGATTCGCGGTGAATTTTATGTCCAGATCCAAGCCGGATCAAAGCGAATCTATTCGGCTCGATCTGGACAAGTCTTTGCTGGTGGGAAAATGGCCTTTCTTTTAGGCTCTGCCCTGGTAACCTCTGAACTCTGAGACCCATCTAATTATCCTAATTGGGGCATTTCTTCGAAGTTGTCTGTACACGGGGCGCTGGGATTCAAACCCCCAACCTGTCGATGCACGAAAGGCCTAATGTTTGTTCACCCAAATGTACAAAAGTAGAATTTTGAACCATGGACAATTAAATTATTCTCTATGCGTCACTCAAAAGCAAGCTGTGATGTTTGTTTAATCTCCAAACAGATCATACGGTGGCAAGGCATTATCCACTGGCCAGAGAAGTGACCATTAGCCACATTTGGCCAGAGGAGTGACCATTAGCCACAATGGACATCCCCCTGGCCAATGGATACTGTCTTGCCACCGTATGATCTGCTTGGAGATAAATGCTTGTTCGTAGCCACTCCCACGTCACAGGTCATACGTCGGCGCTTTAATTATAGTTGTCTGAACTGGTTAGACTGGTTGAGGTTCCTTGCGCGATACTGATTCTGTGGCGGATCGACCCCGATACAATACCAACATATCCGTCCACTGTGTGTCTGACAGGTGAGGATATATTTACTGTATACAGATTCTAAATCTCCTGAGCTCCTAGTAAGGTTTTCCATGCTGTGACTATGTAGAGGAATAGTGATTACCAATAGTGATGTTTAAACGTTAACTGTTCTATCACGACTGCTATACTGCTTGTAAAGACTGGAACAGTTTAGGGACAAATGCAGTCAGTAGCCGCCGCGTCACGACAAGAGTTCGTGCTGGAGATGTGGCTGTCCTAAAACACGGGACTTCAACTTACATCTCCAAGCAGATGTTTTGGGGGGCTGCAAAGACGCTATCTAATTTTCCAGTATCCATTTATCCAGTCTTTTCATGGCAAATGGATACAAATTGGCATGTTTTCACAGTGGCAAGAACAATGCAGCCATCAAAAAAGTGTCCCAAAAGAATTGTTCGGAGATAACTTCAACTTTACGTGTCTCATCCGAGAAAACGTCCCTAACCGAAGCAAGTTACTAATTTTCACCTGAGTCCAGTGATGAAATCGGCTCTTTGTGTGATGTAAGACAGTACTACGTTTAGTGCTAAGTGGAGACAACACTTGCACTTTTTAAGTCTGCAAGCCAGATCCATCCAACCATTACACGCGCACTCACGTGTAATAAAAAGAAAGTGTAGCTTGGAGCAAAATGCAGGCAATCTCTGTAGCACCTACGGCGTCAAATAGTCAATTTGGTCGATTTGGTAACAGTTTTTCTTTTTTTTTGACGTTGTGAAACATTTCCATCAGGTCTGTTTATCTGTCAAGACCATCTGAAGTTGCTTTCCCATTCCAGATAGAAATACATGTCAAAATAGCATCATTTTAGGCGTCACTCAAAACCGGTCGATAGGCATCCCATCCGGTAATGAGACCGCCCCATGGTTGTAGTGTGCGGCTGAAACAGTTCAGCATGTTGTGGAGTTGTACTGATCTGGACATGTCATGCTTTCACAGCTTCAAACGTAGAAAAGGAAGAACAAAGCAGCCGTCGAAAAAGTCCCAAAAGGCGTAAAACTAGGCACGGGAGGAACTTAAAAAAATATATAAGAGGGCCTGCATGCCCTTTTCCGTATTCGTAAGGCGTAATCAGGCCTTTTTAGGCTTCGTAATTCGTAGGCAGCCTCCGCAAAAATCAACGTAATTCGTAATTGGACATTAGCCGCAAATCCTAAAGTCGTAATCAGCTCTGAAACTTTAACGTAATTGGCGGTGAAAATTTTGCGTAATTCGTAATCACTATCCCCCCACCCCCATGCAGGCCCTCATAGAAACTAATAGATTTAATTGATATATTTAAAAATAGTCGTCCGATGCAAGCATGGAGTCTGCAAACATCCGAGGTGTTCTCGTAATCACGCTACTTGCGGCTGTGACACATCTACTGCTGAAGGAATGGCGCCAACCTGAACGAGAAGACGGGATCGCGGCCGTGAGACCTCCGTGCCAGCGTCCCCAGCCGGGCGGGCTGGACCTCACGGGAGGCCCGTACACACACGGGGCGGTCGCCGCTGACGCCCTGGAGTGCTCTACCATAGGCAGGTACGTGAATATGGGTTCCAAACCCATAGCACACTGGACACAAACTCACTGAGATACTTTTTGTCCAGTGTGCTATGGGTTTAGAACCCAGGCTAGTACGTGAATTGATTTTCTTTGTTAGTCAGGGTTCTCTTCTAAGCCCCCTTCATCTATCTACTATCCGACGTTAACACATATACCCGGTAAAACTGTTTGACATACCTTGGACATCGAGGTGACACAAAATGTCCAAACAGATTATCCGAACCACAGCACCTCACGAAAAATGACTTGATTTTCTGAACATGATTATATGCAAACACACAGAATGACCAAAATGCATTATCTATCATCTATTTAATCAATGATTGTTGTTGTTTATTATATATATATATGGCACGCAGTCTTGTGTTTAGAACCAAACTGTGTCACTGCGTAAGAAAACATTGTAACCATGGCATACCAGGATCTATCGATGCAAAATGCCTCAGGAGGTCATATGACGTAGGTAGGACAGACAAGTAGTTGTAATTAACGAATTAGTCTAATCGAGCAGTAAAAAATGATGTACTTAATGGTTTTGTGGAGAACACGTGTTCCCAGTACTCTAGTTTTAAACACAAGATAGACATTAACTGAATACACAAATGAGATGATACCTGAGTAATCTACCTATTGTTAGGCCGGCGTTATTCTATTTACAATGTTGTCCTATTGTGCTTTTTTTTGGATCTAAATATAAAGGCGGAGCCCATCCCGAAGCAGAAGTAAAGCTTTCTTTGAATGATATAATGAAACTTTCTTTAGAAACATCACAGGCTCTATGCTATATGCAGGACATGACTTAGCATGAAAGTTCCTCTGTGTTGGTACAAGTCATTTTGAAATAAAGACTGAGCTTCAATTTCCAACACTAACTGCAAAGAATTGGGACTTACCCCAAATTTGACATTTGTGGGGTCGTGTGGCGTAGCGGCAGAGTGCACGACTCGGAACCAAGAGGTCCCGGGTTCGAGTCCTGACATGCCACCGATCTTGTGTCCTTGGGAAAGGCACTTTACACGACTTTCCTCACTTCGCTCAGGTGAAAATGGGTATTGTCTTGTTCCGTATTTGTCCTTTATCTGCGATGGTGACGGCATAAAATAAGTTGATATAACTTGAGTTTGCCGTCACTACGTCTAGTCGTGAAATGTTGGGGGAAAAATTGACATGATTGTTTTGTAGGGATATTCTGCAGAAGGGCGGTTCGGCTGTGGACAGCGCCATCGCGGCGCTAGCTTGTGTGGAGCTGGTACACGGACACAGTGCAGGGGTCGGTGGGGGGTTAATCATGACGATATACAACAAAGAGACAGGCACGGCCCAGGTCATCAACGCGCGAGAAAAAGCCCCATCCGGAGCCTCCACACACATGTTTGGAAGTAACAACATCAGTGCACAATTCGGTAAGACAGGACAATAGTCGGTGCTGGTGGGGGTATGAATTCTCTAGGCCTGTCACACGTATTTAAACATTGTCCCCCCAACAATGACAAAATCAGTCCACTCACGTCATAACCCAAAGTCTATTTTGCTAGTCACGCAAGCAAATGGCCGTATTATGTAAGGGATCACTGTAAAGGATGACAAACTGGTTTTCCAATTAGAAATAGCACATTACCGTTGATTAAGCAGTAACAGACATATTGTCGACTAAATTGAAGTTGTAGAGTTGCGTTGATGAAACTAAAGTTCATTGCACAAGAACTGCAGGAGGATCAAGGCAGGGCATCAGCTGCTCTCTCTCTCTCTCTGTTCTCTCTCTCTTTGTTCCTCCTGCAATTCTTGGGCAATAAACTTGAGTATATATGTATGTATGTATGTATGTATGTATGTATGTATATATATATATATATATGTATATAGAGAGAGAGAGCGAGAGAGAGAGAGCATCTGATGTCCTGCTTTGTTCCTCCTGCAATTCTTGTGAAATAAACTTGAGATATAGATATATACATATATATATATATATATATATATATATTGTGTGTGTGTTCTGCAGGTGGGCTGGCTGTGGCCGTACCGGGCCAGGTCCGGGGGTTCTGGGAGGCACACCAGCGACACGGGAAGCTACCGTGGAAGGACCTGTTCCAACCGGCTATTCAAATGGCCGAACAGGGCTTCTGTATCGGCAGACCGCTGCAGAATGCCATCAGTAAGAACCTAGAGTTCATCAACGATCCGAAGAACCACTTGTGGTGAGTCAAAGTCAACATTCGTCGATGAAGGTTAGACATCCAGGTAATAAGATACGCCAAAAAGCAGTTACTCAAGCACTGAACAGGATATGATTTTGGAAACGGTCAGACGTTTCAGCTAGTATCCACTAGCTTTCGTCAGTGACTGTGAATGTGAGACCAGAGGAGAAATGCAGGTTTATAAGCACAAACTATTGATTGATAGTTGTCAAAATTGCTGCCAAAGTCAACATTGCTGCCAAACTCACCAGACTATAACCTGTTCAACAAGTTTTCCTGTATCTTTAAGGCTAGGTTTATTTACGTTATACGGCCGTGAAGATGGCAAGTAATACCTCCGGAAATCCTGCTCTTCCACCAGGCAGAACGATCCTTAGCCTTTTGTTTAGAAGGACTTTGATGCACCTATAAGTGTTTTCATTGGCACAGTTCATGTTTTTCGTCACAGGCTAAATGGCGACAGCTTCCTTTGTAGGGTCAGGAACCTTTCGCGGACTTACAGATGAATGAACCTTCAAGCAAACGCGATGATGGACACGCGTGTTAATCTCCAAGCAGATCCCTTTCGGTGGCAAGACAGTATCCATTAGCCAGAGAAACTCGCCGGCCACCGATGGTGGGGGGTAGCGACAAATAACGGCCATATATAAAAAGCTAACGATCATTCCCCCACAACCTCTGCTTGGAGAGTAACGTGTTCAACATGTCTTCACCTTTTCCCCATTCAGTGACGTGTTGTGCGACGAAAACAACAACGTCCTGGGCGTGAACATGACGATGAAGCGGCCCCAGCTTGCAGAGACGCTCCGTGCGGTTGCCGATGGAGGTGCAGACGCCTTCTACACGGGAGAGATCGCCAGGAATCTGGCCAAGGACATACAGGACGCAGGTTTCTAGCTTATATCTCACTTCAAATGGACAAACTCAGACACACGTATGTATTCCCAATGATGGCATCATTTCAAAACATCATTGGTCAACAAGATTGGCAGATAACGAAGACCTTGTTGACTCAAATTGCATGACTATGTCAACGAGGTATTCGTTATCAGTCAATCAACATCTTACGGTGACACGGACATTTCACCTTGATATTTGACCTTGACCATTGACCTTGAGATTTGTCCTTGACATTTGACATCTGCGTTTGACCCTGACATTTGACCTCGACAATAGCCAGCTTAGTTGCTGGAATGCAAGAAAATCTCACCTTTGTGCTAGAGCCTGAGTAACACAGTCTACGGTTCCACACAACATGTATAAAATCCATTTTAAGTCGGTTATCGCATCCTTTGCCTACACAAATATAAAGTAAACCTTACCACGAAGCATTGACATATTCGAAATGGCACAGGGTAAATGCTGTTCATTTCTGACCCTGTACTGACTTTGTATGTTTACAAGGTGGCATCATCACTGAGGAAGACCTCCGGGACTATCAGGTGGAGGTTTCGGACCCGCTGAAGACTTCTCTGGACGGTGGACTGACGCTGCTGACCCCGCCTCCACCGGGAGGGGGCGCTGCGTTAAGTCTCATGCTCAACATCTGGGACGGTGAGAAGTAGTTACTGCAGTATTGATGTTAGTACTCATAGTAGCAGTAGTAGAAGTAGTAGTAGTAGTAGTAGTAGTAGTAGTAGTAGTAGTAGTAGTAGTAGTAGTAGTCATGGGAATAGTAGTGCTGAAAGAAGAACTACTATTCCTACTACTATTCCCACTACTACTACTACTACTACTATTCATTCCTACTACTACTACTATTCATTCCTACTACTACTACTACTATTCATTCCTACTACTTCTACTACTATTCTTTCCTACTGAGTACTACTACTATTCCTACTTCTATTCCTCCTACTACTACTACTAACATCGATACTCAGGCAGTAGTAGGAATAGTTGTACTGAAAGACGAACTGCTATTAGAAATAGAATTATTGGTGTTTCCAATGTGCCAATAACAGTTCAGGAACTAAAGATCCTACATCGTTTCAGGATATCCAAGACGCTTTGATAGCAGTAGCTGTAGTGGCAACGGTAGTAGCGGTGGTGGTGGAGGATCGGTCTATTTCATTTTCTACGACTGTGAAAATATAAAGAAGCGTACAATGAATTTCTAAAGTGACTACATGTACTTGTTTCCATGTCCAGGTTACGGTCTGAACGCCTCCAGTGTAGACGGGGTAGATAACCAGGTCCTGACGTACCACAGGATGCTCGAGGCCTTCAAGTTCGCATTCGCCAGGAGAACGGAGCTCGGAGATCCAAACTTCGTCGATGTGAAGGAGGTGAGGAGATGTCTCATGGTTACCTTTCAAGTCGATACAGCTTACGAGTAAACTTGAGTATATCTGTATCTGTATAGCCGGTATAACCGCCCCTCGGCGTAACACACCAGCCTTTTCTATACCTTTCTTTACTTTTTATACAGGTCGTGCAGAAGATGACGTCCAAGTCGTTCGCGGACTCGCTGAGGCAGCGGATCAGCGACACGGAGACACACGACTGGAGGTACTACGACCCGGTGTACTACGTGCCGGAGGACGGCGGCACCACGCACGTGTCGGTCCTGGCGCCGGGCGGAGACGCCGTCTCTCTCACCAGCTCCATCAACAGATAGTAAGGATTTGATTTGACTTGATTCATTGAAATTGCAATAGCTGCACAGTTGGTGTCCCAACAAGACAGACAATACTTTATTTTCGAGTTAAAGTGGGAAAAGTCGTGTAAAGTGCCTTTCCCAAGGGCACAAGATCGGTGGAAAGTGAGGTCTCGAACCCGGGACCTCTTGGGTCCGAGTCAAGCACTCTGCCGTTGGGCCACACCACCCCAGGAGTCGTTTTGTACTCCTTTATTTGTCCTTAGCATGAAAGATAAGGGATTTGGTAATAATAGAGACACAATTCTATTTATAAATTTGGGGACAGTTAGGGCTAAATACAAAGATGACCGCATACATGTGGTCTACAGGTATATATTTCAGTAATACAAACAAATTTAAAGACAAATCTTTTGTTCACAGCTTTGGTGCCAAGTTCCGCTCAAAATCCACAGGAGTCATCCTCAACAACCTGATGATGGACTTTAGCTTTCCAGGAATGAGCATACCCTATTACATTCCCGGAAGTCCAGGTAATACAAACTGTCTCAATCAAATAAAGTCTCCCCTTGCTTGCAATGAGAGACAATGCTTAAGTGCTGCAGAATTGTGCAAAGTAAAACATGTATCCCTCTTGTAGTTTTTCTTTGTGGCCAAGGACAATAGAAACGGTGATGGTACATACATCGAAAGACTAGGAAATGGTTTAACGGTGATGGGCTAGTCTCCACCAGACCCCTTTGCCAGCTGAAAAAATAATAGAAACTGGTAAAAGAAAACGCCTATCAGTCTCCTCCAGACAATAATAGCCGCTGCCGCTCCTAGAAATCTGCAAAGGAGTCTAACAACGCTATGAACTGATTGTCAACCTTTGTAGCTTTGGTCCGCTCCCAACGATTCGCTACTGCCGTTAGCCGATCGTGGGGAGCAGGCGAAAGATACAAAGGCTGACACTCAGGCTAGCTAGTCTCCACCAGACTCTTTTGCAGGCTGAATAAATAGTAGAAATCGGCCTAAAAAGAATGTAGCCGGCCAAGGGAGGCAAACTGGATCGTCTATGGTCGGCCATCTCCCCTGGCCAGCTACATTCTTTATAGGCCGATTTCTACCATTTATTCAGCCTGAAAAGGAGTCTGGTGGAGACTACAGGCTAACCAGGTTAGTCAAAGCATCACCAGAATGTTCGCTACCCTCCCGTCCCACAGCGAACTTCATCGAACCAGGCAAGCGGCCGCTGTCGTCCATGGCTCCCTTCATCGTGCTGAACAGCACCGGTGACGTCAGGCTGGTGATGGGGGCCGCCGGGGGGCTGAGATGTGAGACGACCTTGGCATACGTAAGATATCTCTTCCAACTTCTTACTTACTACAACTATATATCGTAGAGTGGAACTCGCTGTCACCAAGTACAGTAGGGGGATTATCCTTAGATAGCTTCAAACAATGTTTAGAGTTAGATGTTTAAGAGTTAGGTGCAACATGTCGTTCAGCGTAACACACCAGCTTCGCATGCACGCGGTGCGGCGGCAGCTGGCTACATTACACCGAAAGACTTGCTAAACCTAACCCTTGAACATCTAACTCTAAACATTGTTAAAAGCTATCCAATGAATGGGATATAGCCCCTACTGAACTTGGTGACAGCGAGTTCCACTCTAGGGAAGAATGAATTTTTTAACACCCCAATCCTTGGTTGATAACTCTCAGAGTGGTACTTGAAGGCATGGCTATTTCTTGTTCTTTTCTCGAATAGGTGACGATGCATTGCCTCCGCTTCGGCACGAGTCTGGCGTCAGCGATAGAGCTGCCCCGTCTGCACCACTCCCTAACGCCCAACAAGTTCATCACTGAAACCAACACGCCGTTCGAGCCAAAGGTAAGCGTTTACAGTAACTGGATAACGGTGTTCACCGTTTGTCAGTAACTACTGGGCTGAGATGTCCTCCCCATATCCTGAGATATGGGGAGGCCATTCAAGCGAAAGGTCAGCGTGCACCCGATACACACACTAGCGTTTACAATAGTAACTGGATAACGGTGTTCACCGTTAGTCAGTAACTACTGAGCTGAGATGTCCTCCCCAAAGGACAGCGTGCAACAGATACACGCACTAGCGTTTACAATAGTAGCTGGATAATGGTGTTCACCGTTAGTCAGTAATTACTGGACTGAGGCCATTCGAGCGAAAGGTAAGCGTAAGTAATAACTGACTAACGGTGTTCACTGTTAGTCAGTTATTACTGGGCTGAGATGTCCTCCCCATATCCTGAATGAAACGCTGGTGACACAGCGGGTACAGTTTGAAGTTGGTGAAAGAACATGAGATTGTTGAAAATTGTCACGTTGTTCGCTGCTCTAGTGTAAATTGTATTGTTCACTAAGTTGTCGAGAAAACATGGGATTTTTTTTATAAATAAATGCGTTGTTCCTAGCCTATCCTTTTGAATTGATTAGCCTTCTCCCTGCTGCCTAACCACGTAGCAAATACAAACGTTGTGTCTTTTTGACCTGTACCTAGCTTGTAAGAGCAGAAACTTGCAATACATGTCTTTTATCCATTCATTCATTCATCCATCCATTCATTCATTCATTCATTCATTCATTCATTCATTCATTCATTGTAACTGCAGGAAGTCTTTGATCGACTATCAGAGATTCACCGGACGAAGAACTCCACTATCATGGCCGTGCTACAGGGCGTCATACAGGAAGGCTCTGCAATATTCGCACACTCCGATTCGAGGAAGGATGGTTGCCCATCAGGCTTCTGATGATGAAGAAAATTCATAAAACTTTCGATTTAATAATTAATGCCTAAATTCAGCTCCCTCGCCATGCATGCGATCTACATCCTCAGGCTAAATTTTTCTAGAAAAAAAATGGTTATTATGCTTTACCGAAGGAAATCAAGTCATATTGTTTTTGGTCTGTTTCTTCTTCCTCGCTCTTTTTTTACCAACACTGGCCTCTGACCTGGTCAATGACCTCAACCAGACCGTCTCTCACCATGGTAACTGGTGTTGGGTCACACAAATGTATCAATTTCTTATTCTTGTACCCAAGTTATTTAACTCAAGTGCATTTGGCTCGTGTAGGGCGTGAATATGCAATAAAGTTCATTGTCATTGTCATCATGTTGCAAGTTTATAGTAAGGGGGATTTAGACTGCTGTCACCATATATGTAAATGTGCTTAAGTTAGAATTAACAGCGAAAACCACCATATGCGAAGGTAAACATTACACACTTGCTATGCAAATGTTACCTTCTAGTTTAGCTAACATCTGTGTCCATAATATCACCAGGGTCCATAATATGGCCACCTTGAGAAGTAGTGTGCTTAAAGGTATTTTTACTGCAACATACTTTTGGTATGCACTCCTTCACACCTCAAATGTACATACCTTAAGGGTATGTTGCAGTAAAAATATCTTTAAGCACACTATTTCTCAAGGTGGCGATATTATGGACCCAGGTGATATTATGGACACAGATGTTATAGGTAAATCCGCTGTGAACAGTCCTCATCAGAACCCCACAGGAAATCCTCCCTTCAGCGAGTCACAGGCGGCGCTGATGACGTCACCATTCCTGGCCACGCCGTTGACAATGGCGGAGCCTGCCACGTTAGTCACGTGGTTCTTCTGACGTAGACCCTCCAGAACGGCCTAGTCGTGAGTGTGGAAACACAACAACTGTCATTTACAATAATGGAAGAGATAAATGAATATAGAATAAAAACAAAACCCCTGCTTGGAGTGTGTGGTAATTGCTATTATGGCTCACGCCAAAAGCAGTTACTCAAGCAACTGGATATGGTTTGGGAAACGGACAGAAGTTTCAGGTAGGATCCGCTAGCTTTCAGGTAGGTAGTGGATGCTACCTGAAACGTCTGACCGTTTCCAAAATCATATCCAGCTTGAGTAACTGCTTTTGGCGTACCTTATTACCGGGATGTCTAACCTTCACTGACGTGTTAGGGCTCACCTCTGGTTGGAACATGTCGGAAACACAGACACACACAGACAGACACACCAAAAACAATACCTCCACATCATGGAGGTAATGAAACCCTGGAGTGTGTTGTATGTTGTTATGTCTCACCTCTGGTTGAAACACGCACACACACAGACAGACAGACACACAGAAACACCAAAAACAATACCTTCATTTTTCATGGAGGTAATGGAAATAAAATCTCTGCTTGTAGTGTGTGGCACGCTGTTATGGCTCACCTCTGGTTGGAACGGCCTGCTTCTTTCCGTGTCGACGCGGTCGGGTAGCAGCTGGTGATGCAGTCGGGGCTTCTCAACGGCAGGCCCGAGGTCAAGCCCGAACCACAGGTGCTGCATCAGGACCTGGGACATCAATGAGAAGAAGAAAGAAAAGAAGAAAAACTTTATTGCACGACAGTTGTAATCTCCAAGCAGATCCAAGCACATCAAATTGGCCAGTCTGTAACCATTACCCACCGAATGGGGAAATAGTTACAGACTCGCCAATTTGATACCCCACCAAAAGATCTGCTTGGAGATTACGACAATTCTACAAGGTACAGCGACTACTGATCAAAGTGCAAAAATAAAAGGGTATATAGAATGAAAATTAAAATCTTAATTACTAAACATCTAGAGATAATACTGTATACAATCAAGTACGGCTAATTATCAGTGCAGAAACAATGGAAACAAGAATGGGGCTCCCGGGAATCGAACCAGTGCCGAACCCGAGCAGCCAGCTTCCGAGACCAACGCACTAATAACCACTAGGCCAAAAGGTTCAGATATACAGCCGAACCATCCCAAGACGGTAACTATAGGGGGACTGGTGCAATCTGGTCTTGATAGTCACTATTGATAGGATTATGAGCGAAATCCTACAGTTTTGGTTTAGTTGAACTACGAAGCGATTTGTGGAATCAAAATTATTTGACTCTGAGTTTCGAAGAGTTTGACTGGACGGGGTACTAGTATTTGATGACGTTTGCCTTACGTAAGCCGTTGCCGTGGTGATCTTTGTTCCCCCGGACGCACCCGTCACCAGTCTGACGTCACCGTTCCCATCAACCACCACGGTGGGGTTCATGGACGACATGGGACGTTTGCCGGGTCGGATGAAGTTTGCTGAAAGAAAAAAAATTGAACGATGATACTTTATAGTGAAGCGTTTTGGCAATACACGAATAGGATTCAATAATTATAATAAGACGGTGTGTCACTGAAGATTTTGAAAAACACAGGTTTTGTTAGAATTGATGTTGGTCGAAAAAGAAGACCGTTCAGACCTTTCTGCGTTTCATTTATACTAAATGTGCATCATGGCATTTTGCATTCCATGCAAGAGAGCGCGCGTTAGTCAAAATTTCTGCTGCCATTTGTATTCATTTTCATAACATTTCTAGATATAAAGATATTCAAAATCAACTTGAATCGTGATATGTCCATCATGTTTCAAAATCTGTATATTTGTTGTGGTTTTCTGGAAACTAGAACACAAAGTGTCGTAGCAAGCCAAATCCAAAGCAAAGCCACGTCTAATTCCGTGGATCAAAAGAAAGAAAAATGAAAACCTATCTATTCTACATAGTATTACACACATTATAGACCACTGACGTACGCACCCGGAGAAGGGGGGACTCCGAAGGAGTTGGTGAGATTGGGCGAGGAGAAGTCGTCCATCAAGTTGTTGAGAATCACCCCAGTCGATGCGGACCGTAACTTGGAGCCGAAACTGTTAGATGATGCGTGAGAGGTTGAAAAATATGTGATGAGACACGCCGCACACGCGTCAAACATTTAATGTGCTACTTTAAGTTTTGTGAACTAAATCTATCATGTCCATGTTCTTTTTATAGTTTTATGTGTTCAAATTGGGGTAACCTGCGGTCATTGGAACAGAACGCGTGTTCCATTTTGGTTATTGGAACAGAACGCGTGTTCCATTTTGGTCATTGGAACAGAACACGTGTTCCATTTTGGTCATTGGAACAGAACACGTGTTCCATTTGAAAAGCGGGTAGTTTATCGGATATTAATGACATGGTTTATGGAGTAAATTGAGCCTTCTAATTGGTCGACAGCTCCTGACTATATGATAATGTGCGTTAAGGACTAACTTCAAAACACAAAGCTTCAAAACAAAGGTCCACTGCCATCTCCTGACATAACTACATTATACTCACTTAAGTACCTCTAGCTCTATGCCTAGAAGTGACCAAGAATAATTGGCCTTGCATTGAGCGACACTGTTAAAAAAAACTACAGTTTGACGGTGCTGGTTGAACGTTACTTAAGTAAACCAGACTCAGTAGAGAATAACGATGAATGTACGTTAAGGTTATGGTGCTGGTTGAACGTTAAGGAAATTAAACCAGACTTACAACAGGTTAACGGTGCTGGTTACCGACACTGCGTCTCCGTTCGGCGCTAGAACAGACACGTGTGACGTACCGCCGTCCTCAGGTAGGACAAACGACGGGCCGTAATACCTGGAAGGAAGGAAACACGACACACCTTAACTCGTACGTGTGTTACACAATCTCTCCCTGTCAGGGGCCAATTGGGTTAGTCTCCACCAGACAGCCAGATAGTCCTTTGCAGGCTGAATAATAAGTGGAAATTGGCCTAAAAATGGAGATAGCAGGTCATAGAAGGGCCCGTTTGCCTGTACTGGTGCTTCTATGGCCGGCTAACTCCCCTGGCCAATTATATCCCATTTTAGGCCAATTTCTATTTATTCAGCCCTGCACATTAGTCTGGTGAGACTACAATGCGAATATGTTACCATACACATCTAACTGCGGAGAAATATCCCTAATACCAAAACTGCCAATAGGAGGTCAGAATTCCTTATCACTAAGAACATCAGTCCAGCAGGAGCTCACGGTGTTCTGTCGCTATGGCAACAGTCATCACAGCCTCCAACTTTATGGTAACAGGCAGTTCTCAGTCTCACAATGATAAGTGCAAGTTATCTTTTTTTGTACATACATACATATTAAATGGATGAACAGGATTAAGAGGTGTTGCCTATCAAGGTTTTATGTCTGTTAAAGCGTGATGTGATCGGGCTACATGATAATTACCCACCTGTAGTCGTGCGTCGTGCTGTCGGTGATTCTCAGACGGAGAGATTCCGCATAATCGTCTGACGTCATGTTTCTGATCAGCTGTTCGTCAGAAAACAATGAAAATCAGGCTCGCTGAGTCAGTTCATAAGGTTGAGGCCCCAGTCACACTAAAACGCTCTACGCGGTTTTGATCCAGATTCTACCGAAGCCGGATTCTTGAAAGCGGCCCCATCTGAGCGTTCCAAATCGCATTGAAAGCGCCTCGATCCAAAACCACTTCGGGAGGTAGTTTCGAGCCAATGAATGTAGATTTGGCGAATCGTGATCGGGCAAAGTTTGAAAGGAACGTGTGGCACGTGGACCAGATGTGAGGAATGCGAGTTACCCGAATCGCGGTTCAGTCGGTTACGTGTGAACAAGGCCTAAGACGGCATTATCACGGAGACCAGGCTAAGTAAATACCCATTTTATATTATTCGCTTGTAGTTCATAGATCAAGTTTAACATTGATAAATATCTCTATAATCTTGAATAATACTGCAGACTCACGAAGTCTGAACTGAGTGGTACATGCACTTTCTGCAACCATCGTTGCAGTCATTTTAACATTGACAAACTCTGGCATTTAGAAAGGGATGTTATAAAAATACTTCAAATTGAACTAAATTTGTCAAATGAATATATTTATATCAGCTTCACAACATGGTCATTGTTCTAACATGAAGAAACACATCATGTACCTAGCTGTGAGGGAATATCACCGATATCCAAACCCTACAGGTCTTTGCTAGGTGTTCTGTATGTACCTACCTCAGCAATATCTACGAAGTTTGGATCTCCGAGTTCGCTCCTCTTGGCGTAAGCGAACTTGAATGCCTCTATAATCCTGTGGTACGTCAGGACCTGGTTATCAACACTGTCTACACTGGAGGGGCTGAACCGGTAACCTGTACGAAAAAGGGAAGACACTTCCTGTCATACCAAGGAGATTCTATTTAACATTGTGGTTAGGGTTTTACTACAAATAAACCATTCATTTATACAACATTTAACATTGCAGTGTGGTTGCCTTCTATCATGCTAACAATTATAAGGCCACACCAAGTAAATTTTATGGATGACGTCCTTTGGAGACCCTAAATCTAATGCGAGAGGGCGAAAAAAAAAACAAGAAGGGCCCTAAAAAACAAGATATAAGAAATATTGCACTGCTGACAGGACCGTCCTGTCTGTTAATAGTTCCAAAAACGGCACTGTTTTGGAGGTATTGACAGGATTTTTTTCAGTGTCATTTTTTTTGTTTTTTTTCATTTTTGTTTCCATTTTTTAACCAGGCACAGGCTTCCGGCGTTACTTGTTTCACATCAATCTGACGATTTGCGGCACTGTCGTGACTCTTTGGTCATATTTACAGAAAGCGGAATTTCTTGTTTTTTTTTCTAGGAACAGGCCAAAATCAATGCGCGAGCGGACGTCATCCATAAAATTTACTTAGTGTGGCCTAACCAACACAAATCCTACGTGTGCCATAAATAATTCTAAAATGGAGTCAATATCGTATTGTGTTAAATTGAAAATAGGGGAATCAAGAGCCTTAGTCTGAGATTCTGTCAATGGCCCTTGATATATTTCTCTATTGATGCAAACCTTCATTGCCATAATAGGTTTATTATGTAGTAAGAAATGACAATGGTTAGTACAATATTCCTCAATCAGTGACTGTTTTTGAAAGGTAGAAACACGTCCCTCCAAATTTTCGATGTCCACTGTACATCTTGATCACGGAGTGGCCTAGTCTCGTGACAACACGAGACTAGGTCGAGATTTGTGTGGAGCTTCTGGCCTCCTGCGCCTCCTTGCGAGACTAGGTCACTCCGTGATGAAGATGTACAGTGGACATCGCAAATTTGGAGGTACGTGTTTATACCTTTCAAAAACAGTCACTGATTGAGGAATATTCTAATTTTACGTGGCTAATGAACCTCTTCAAGGAAATGACAATGGTATTGTCCTTTGCGTCAATATGTGTTATTAAACAGGCTTGCTCTTGAGTGACATCAAAAGAATCTACAAGTTGTCCTACCGTCTAAGATGTTGAGGATGAGACTTAAGACGGGTCCGCTTGCTGGAGGAGGCGGCGACAAGACGGTCAGGCCTCCCGCCAGGGAGATGTTGAGAGGTGACGTCACTTCTACCCGGTAGTCCCGGAGGTCCTGTTCTGTGATGATTCCGCCTGTTAGGTGGAAAAATTTTGTGTCCAGGAAGTACATTTAACTTTGAATCTTTATTCAGAATTACTATTAGCCGTGGGCCCAAGCGCTTCTCTTTCTGGTATTCATTCACACACACACACACACACACACACACACACACACACACACACACACACACACACACACACACACACACATACACTCACAGACACACACTTTCTCTTGTACACTGACTTACAGAGTTCCACAATCTTGACTATATATTTACCACAAACCGCTCCAGGGTCTCTTGATATCGACCGTTTTCTCGTCTATCGCTGCGGCTAGAGCCCCTCCTATACAGACGCCCTCCTCTGCCAGCTGAATGGCCGGCTGGAACAGGTCTCTCCACGGCAGCTTCCCGTGTTTCTGGTGGGCGGTCCAGAACGCCCGGATTTCACCGGGTACAGCCACGGCGAGGCCCCCTACACGGGTATGAGAATAAACTTCAAGTCTTACACTGTGATGAAAGTTCATCTGTGTCGCATGTTTAAAGTTAAAACTTTGAACATTCCGTTTCACTGGACGCTGTAAGAATGTTGCACACCAAACAAGACTATTTCCTGAGAGAGGTAAAAGAGGTTATAGGCCCTTTTTACATAAGGGCCCATCATTTACTCAACCGCGACGGGGGCCGACATCGTCTACAACATAATTGTGACCCAGTATTGACGTCGCAGTCTACTGAGGAAGTCCAGAGTAACTGGTCGAAAGTTCTAATGCGGTCCTGGTAGATGAGTACAGACCCTAATCTTGTACAGTCACTTGCCAACATAATGGGATCATTCATGGATGTACACAAAAACGTAATACTAACCTAGTGTGGACAGTGTGAAGTTCCGTTGGTACATGTTCTCCGTGGCCGCGGCAGGCGCCATGTCTCTGGCGTTGATGGTTTCCGCCGTGCGGGTCACCCTGTCGTAGATCGTCATGAAGAGACCTATAATGATGATAATGATGATAATGATGATAATGATGATAATGATGATGATAATGATGATAATGATAATAATGATAATAATGATAATAATGATAATAATGATGATAATGATGATAATGATAATAATGATCATTATTATCATTATTATCATTATTATAATGATGATGATGATAATAATAATAACAAGGGAAATCGTAGATTTCAAACCTCCGGGTTTTTTTTTTCTATTGGTTTAGGTTATTTGTTTGTGTGTAGTATGAAAGTTATGTGCGTAATATGTTTGTATGCCGGTTTGATGGCTACTGACGGTTGGTTCGGTATGGACTGTTGATTAACGTGTCTCAGTCTGACAGCCTGCACCGTCACCCGCGCCATTACCCCCGCCGTCATCCCGCGCCGTCATTGCTGCGCCGTCACCCAAAATTTTTATCGGAACCAGACACCCCTCTGTTTGACCCCTTTTGAATGGTAAGACCCAAAACTGCAACCTCCCCATTCCTTAACAACATGGTAAATTCCATTTTCAGCATAACGGGGGTGTCCGGAGCACTTAAAAACCTTTTATTTCGACGCCCATAAACACATATGCAATTAAACAAAAACGTTCTGCACCATCTGCAGCCCAATAGCAATACGTATACCGAACAACAGACCAATCCGTCCAGCCGATCGCGAGAAACAGCTGCTGACAGAAATGTTTCGAACAATAGTAAAACCTCCTCGCGGAAGGATATCTCCTTCCCCGGAGGTAATAATAATGTTTTTATTGGCAAAACAGTACCCGTGCAGTCGCAGCCTCAATACGGCTGAATTGATGCAGGGTATCACATAATCATCAATACAAATCACAGCAATCAAATAACACACAAGATACACACATATCTGTTGCAAGGGTCTGTGCGGCTGCCATTCGGCACCACAAGGTGACCCCAATACAACTTTCCCGAACCGAAGTTAGGTACCCCACCTCCTCCGATCCCGGAACTGTGCGGGTTGGTCAGCCCGATGCACAGCAGGCTCGCGATGGCGGCGTCCACGGCAGAACCGCCTTTCTCAAGCATATCACTGAAACGTGAAAAAAATGATATGGTTATTGATGATGTTTATTGCAAATTATCATATAGCCAGGTGACGTTGACCAATCAGAAGGCTCCATTCCACATTCCTTATGACGCCGTAATGTCACAAATAGAGTCAAAATCGGGTATTTATTCATCCCAATCCATACATTAAACAACCCAAATAATCACCCGCAGAACAGGGCTCTAGTTCTAAAAAATCCAAAAATAACTTTAGTTGTGTTCCAATGACCTCGGCTGACTCCCATAAGAACACCTGTTCCCTGCCTGTGACCCAGATAGAAGACATAGAACGTGAACTCTACCCAGTGACCTCAGGTGACTCATGTTCTATGTTCTATTCAGCATGTGCATTGTATCACTTACTGCATCAGTTTGGATAGACTATCGTGTAAGCTACAAAATGTATATGATAATAGTGTTAATGTCCCGCCCTTTCTCGGTGAATATGGTGTGATAAAGCCTTGTCAGTTGCTATAACCACCTCATAAAGCCACCTCGTTCGCTGCGCTCACTTGGTGGCTTTATTCTGTGGTTATAGCAACTGACAAGGCTTTATCACACCATATTCACCGAGAAAGGGCGGGACATTAACCCTTAATTCATGCCCGAGGGCTAATTGCATACAGACATTAACAAGAAAAATGTGGTGATATAAGACTATTTGCTAACAACTTCTACGTGTACGTTATTCACTGGAAGGTGAAAAAATGACCTGAATGAATGCAGACAAGCATGGAATGCAGGGACTTGTACGTGTACTGATTCAACAAACTACTAGACTAGTACTACTATAGATCACTATACACTGTGAATACACCGCTGCCACCAGTGTTATATATACTGAAGGCTGCTGGAAGGATTCCACACTCGACCACGACTCGGGCAAGGGACACGTTGGTTCCTTGCCCTTAATATTGATGTCTTTATTGACACAAGTCCTACCCCCTACAACGGTCTACCTTCGATGACTAACGGGGGGGGGGGGTTGTGGTAAAATTTCCTAGAGCTTGAGAAGCTGGCCTATGTAGGCCCTGCAGCCTGGAAACAGTCTGGGATCCAGTCTACATGTAGTGTACGATTAGTGCATATCTTAATAGCTAAAAACTTACCTGCCAATCTCGGAGCACTTTCCGACGTCGGTGGCGACGGCCGCGTAGGAGTAGCGCCCGCCGCTGCCCACGGGCGGACCGTAGGGCTCGCATGGCGCCCCTACCCGGTCCGCCCGCCCAGACCTCCAGGTCAGTCCGACGCCCAGACCGACCCCGAGACCCACCACGATGACCACCACCGCAACCGCCGCCGCGATGGCTTGCACCCAGGCTTTCTTCGACATCTCTAGCTTCTCAAACCGCTACCGTACTGTCTTCAGCAGAATTGGCCAGAAGATCACCGAATCTCAAACTCGCAAAATGGTCAAGGGGCTCACTAGTTTGGCCTGACTAAAATCGCGCTCCGAGCGGCCGGTCCGCCCCACAGTTTTTGCCGCCCGTGACCTGCAAAACGACGGCCAATCTCTAAAAATCGCGAGTACTGGACGAGAGGACGCCGCGCCGACTGTACCGCTACGGATGAAAATGTTCCTTCCTCGGACGAGCTATGTTCCTGTCGGCTGGCTCAATCCGTCTTTACAAATTAAACCGTAATAACAAACAACATAATAAACGTGAACTCTTGCCACCTACGGACTGTACGCAGACGCTGTACTCCGTAAGATTATGGACACAGTTTCACACACACGTACGCAGGACTTTGACTCCTGTCACCCTTGCCCTTTCTTCATGGAGACGTTATTGACGTTTGACTCAAAGGAATCAGCCTCCACCAGGCCTTCCAAAGGGGTTACGAGTAGTAGTAGCCTGGGTGCCAGACCCAGAACCAGCTGGCTAGGCCCAGAGTTATCCAGCGGCCTGTAATATATGGAGGCACGTTGGCTCTGGAGCCGATGAATTGGGCACTGGAACAGTCTGGAGCCCAGGCTAGGGCAGTAGCTTTTGGTAAACATATGCATAGTGTGAATGATTGACCAGGAGTGTGGGCCCGCGGTAACCGCAACACGTTCCTTCGAAACTGCGCGGGCAATTGAAGCTCTGTGGTGCCGAAACTTCCATGACATGGCAAACCTTTCTCCCTATTTGGCTAAAGTTTCCTGTTTGTCAGGCCGATCGTAGTTAGTCTGGTGGAAACTTCATAGAAATACGGAACGAAAGGGATGTCTTAAGAAGAAAAAACAAGTTGAAAAGGGTTACATTTCTGCACACTCAAAGCATAGGTGCCTCCGGCCGCCTAAAGGTAGGTCACAGACTGTTATTTACCTCTTTATCAAAGTGTGGTACCGAGAACAAAGGCGTGTAAATATTAAGAGAGTAGAACCAGCAAACAGGACAACCACATTGATTGAACAAGGCGTGTTTTGTACACTTAAGGACGCTCGACGCCTCTTAAGACAAGTATTTGGTCATCTTGAAATGACATGCAGTGTCAATAGTGTCACTGTCCCGCCCCATATAAAGCACAGTCTTTATTATTTGTAGGTATGTCCTTATCATATTATTCTGTGGCCAAAGGATTATCCTATGAACGGATGAACAGTTTAGTAAAAGGCCAACCATTTTTAAGAAAAGCTCCATAGATTGAACGCAACACACTTGTTCTGGCGTCCATTTTTATTTGGTTCGAATAAAAAATCTAAAACTTTATTCCTATATACATCCTATAGAGTTATTCCAGAAATATTTTTACGCTAGTAACCATTATCCATTCAGATAAATTTATTTTCTAATCACTGATAAACATAAATCCTGTCACAAACATTTATGTCATCAATTTTATGCAACAATCAACTGAATATAGAATAATTGTACCCACATTTTACCTAATTTTGACGATTGGAATGAATAAATGATTCTAAAAGTAACTAACTTTAAAAGAGTAAATAAAGTATAAAAAAGTATAACCTTAAAACTTTGGTCCTCCGTGATCCAGGAAAGTCCAATATCCTACAGTATACATATCTACTAGTTTTATCAAAGAATGGAATGGAGAGGTTTTATCAAAGTAAAACACTTAACCATGAATCCATAAACTAGGTAACCCTGAGAACAATAGTGTCACTTTGGGCTCATTTAGGTGTTTTATATTAAACACTTTTTAAAGCTATGACCCATCCCTGAAGTCATGTGTCCAACTTTCACGTCCTTTTGTTGGCGCCGATAAAAAAATTCACCCCGTCTGTTAAAAAATGTATACTTAATGACAGTACAAAAATATTTTGGATATCAATAAAAATTTTTAAACGAACTTTTTTACTCCATGAAAATTTGCTTCTGCCCCCTCCCGCCTCCCCTCAAAAATACAAAGACGAACAAAAAATTTAAAATCACGACGATCCGTCCACCGATTTTGAGTCTCTTTTGAAAACCGCCCCTGAAAGTTCCTGAGCAAGCCGCTAGGGGGGCCAAATCTACGTCACTTCTTCCACAGCACAAAACCTAGCACGTCCAGATCACGAGATATCAAAACCGGAAGTTCCACTGCAGTACCATAACAAGCCGCCAGGGGGCCCAAAATCTAATCATTTCTATGTAAGCCTTCTCAAGTTATCGTGTTTACAGACACACACACCAACGCCTCTGAAAACATAACCTTCTTGGCAAAGGTAATGAATTGGTCCACAAATGATTGATTTATCAATACCAAACACACTGCAATTTTAAGACACTCCATGTATTTACATTCCATCTTAAATTTCTATCTGAATTTTAACGCATGGTGCCAGATTTAATTCCTACTGCACATCTGCAGCTACAGAATAAATGTGGCCATACACATAGTGATAGAAATCTGTGTCTCATCTCATTTACCTATGCCAAACACAAAGCCAAAAGAGAAACCAAAGCCATGTCGTCAATTTTAACCAAAAGTGGATCACTTTGCTTTGAAGATGACGTTTTTGCGCAAAGTGCTGTGGTTGGACGAGATCCATCCAAACTTGTCGTCGTTGATTTCGTTCATTTTGTCGCACACCATGGACATGATGGCGGACAGATCGTGAGTTGGGCCGAAATCTCTCAGCAGCTTTGCCAGATGTTTGACATAAGGAGCCCCGTCCCCATCCCGCCTGGCCACATAGCCCGGCACCGTGGCCAGACCCAGGAAGAAGTCGGCTTCGTGGCATATAAAGGGGACAGGTTTAGCGTCATAGTCGCCATCAAAGCTCTCCCTACGCTGAATTCTCTCCCCCTGACAAGCCTGGATAAAGAACAGCTTTGGTTTCCCTTTGAGAGACGGACATTTCATGGCATTGACGGGCTTAATGAGCTCACAGATATCTATGCCTACGTCATCGGAGGAGAAGACCTTTCCCATGGTGCCGTGCGACATGATGCAGCAGACGAAGCAGTCGTGGTTGGAGTGGTCGGCCTTTCCCTGGTCCTTCATGGCGGCCACCATCTTGGCGTGGTCAAGGTCGGTGAAGGTCACCACGGTGAATCCAAGGCCTTCGAAGACTTCTCGCAGGCGACCTGTATGAAGAGTAAACGTAAAAGACGTCAAGAAAGGT